TATTTTACAAATACAAGAGGCACCAGTGTGGAATATTTTCTTATAAGTCAGAATTTGCAAAGGGAATGAGTAATTTTGGGCTGGAATGTATAGATAAATGGAACAAAGTGCTAAATTAATCTACAAAACTACATTTTTGTGGCATCCATACAAATATAGAACTTGATGACTTGAGCTAAATGATGACGTTAAATTGTTGTATGAGCTGGGTAGATTTATTACAAGTTGTGATTTTGTGAATTTTCTTCCAATTCAACTTTTTGTAATAATATTATGTGTTATGCATCAAGGGTCTGAGAGTAACGCAATTTCAATTCTCTATATGTCCTGTACATGAGGTTAAACTGACAATACAACTGACTTTGACTTGATTTGTTACAAATTATATGATGAAATTGCGGTCAGTAACAATCTAGACTTACATTCTTATTGGATTGCCTTTGACCTAACTAAACTATAACTTGATTTTAATGTTTTTGATTGTAATTACAATTTTAATATTCTTACAGTATCTTAATGAAATGCTGCACAAAACGTTAAACTAAGGGTTCCCCAAATGAAAGAACTGGAAGAGGTTTATAAGTGACGAAAAGAAAAATATTTACTCTATTTTTTTTAGACATCAGACATATTTAGTTACTTTGATAATTATTTGTCTCATGCAAAATGTAATTCATTAAGAGTTGCTTTGACCATCTGTTCATGTGAAGATTCACTAATTAATCAAATTGAAACGCTGAATCTTTCAAGAAAATGTGTGATGTTAAACTGATTCTTATTTATTTATTTATTTATTTATTTATTTATTTATATAAACAAGTTTGTTTGTGCAAGTAGCAGGACATTCTTACTTCCAGCCTTCAAATCATGAGATTAATACATATGTGATCCTGGACCAAACTAGTCATAAGTATCAATTTTTTGGACAAATTAAGATTTATACAGTACATCACCTGAGAGTTATATAAATAAGCTTTGATGTATTTTAGAATTCATTATTGTATGATTTGATTTGTTACGATGAGACAATACTAAATATTCTGTGCATTCTAAATTAAGTCTAAATACTGAACAAATAGTCAATTGTCTTATCTTATCCAAATGAAGAGCTTAGCCATGCGCATTACTAATAAAAAAATTGGTTTAAATATATTCACAGTATGAATTTTACTAAATAGCTTCATGGAAGATTATCTGTATATTAATATGAAATAAATAAAATGACTATTATCATCACCATTTTTTCATGCATAAAAATTTGCTTAAACCTGGGATACAAATTACATGTGAGTACAATTGATGACTTCTAAAAAGAGCCAATATCAAACAGAAATTATTTTAATTATACTATAAAAAATGGCTCCCTCTCAAAATATTATGTTTGGTTTAACTACTTATTTAAAATGAGCTGAAACAACACAATTCTTGAGTGTATTTGGGGGGGGGGGTCAACTTAATTGTTTTATGTTCATTCATTTCAGCTAACTGTTTAAAAACTAATGAAAACTTAATTCCTTCATGTTGTCCTAACACAAAAATCGATAATGTGGAACCCAACATTTTTTTACAGTGTACTGTAAGTCGAACATTCTGCTATTAGTAAGCATGATGAAAGATTCTTGTAGGGTTTTTGGATTACCACTGAAGTCATGATGCACAGCTTTTATTTGCCCTATCACTGACATTTCTGCACGGGTCTCCATGTAGCACGGTAAGGAGACTCGCTATGCTGTCACATCTGCCAAAGGGGCTTTTTCTTCCTGCGTTTGCTAGCTTTAATGCCAGCAGATCTGGTCAGGAAACATGACCACAGAGCTCCCCGATCAACCTGTCAGACCTCATTTATTCAAAGTCAAGGAGCTCTGAGACCCCTCACCTCCCAGACCCTCAGTGTCATGTTACAGCAGCCCCCCCTAAACGCCATCACAACTCAACCTCATGAATGAAAGTCAATGAATAAACCAATGGCTCTCTTGTTGTCTAATGAATGATGCTTGCTGCTTTTCTCTCTCGATGAGATCTACGTCTTTTAGGGCATCTTCAAATGCATTACAGTGACAACTGCAAGCATGCACTGTAAAAAAATGCTGGGTTCCACTCAGTTTCTTTATGTTGTCACAACACAAATCGATTAAGTAACTTAATTGTTTTTATACATTTAATTGGATTGAACATAAAATTAAGTTGTTCAAAAAAACAACAACTTCAGATTTGTGTTGTTTGTGTTGTTTAAATAAATAGTTTAAATGAGCATTTGAATAATATTAAGATTTAGAATAGTAATAAAAGATTTAATAATCTTGTTAAGAAGAATTATGGAGGTAAATTGAATTGAGAACATGTCAAAATGACTACAAAATATAATAAATAAATAAAAATAATATAAAAAATTAAATAAAAGCAACAACAAAATAATAATCTTAAAATTAACACTGCGGTATTAAAGGACATTTTCTAGACAACATGGATCAGGGGATCTGAACTGATTGCTATGAAAAGATAACTGGAATGTTAGTTTGCAGACCATTGCTCAAACCACATGCGGGCATGAGCACAAATAAATCTTTCCATCCATCTTAAGAGACAAAACAGAGCAGTAATAGAATATACAGAAAACCTGACAAACACACATCAAATAAAGATCATTTGGCTTGCAAGATCATGGAAAAGCTTCTGGGATTTTAGAAATGTTTATGAGGCAGAAAACACACACACCCACCCACACAAATACACACACACACACACACACACACACACACACACACACACATACACACACACACACACACACACACACACACACACACACACACACACACACACACACACACACACACACACACACACACCACACAAATTTTACAGATATATACTAAAAAGAGAGAAAAAAAAATTATAATATGACAGAAAATAAATAAAATAAATTTAATGAATTCCTAAGTGGAAACCAACAACTAAAAAACATATTTTAAAAGAAACATACAAATAAAAACTACAATGTGAAGATCAGTCTGTCAGATTTAAGCTAAGATTTAATATATATATATATATATATATATATATATATATATATATATATATATATATATATATATACATACATACATACATACATACACACACACACACACACACACACACACACACACACACACACACACACACACACACACACACAAAGCCCTTCAAAAAATTTGAGAGATAAGACGAACGCTGAAGAATAAAAAAAGGATGAATGACAGCATTATTTTAGCCGGTGATGTAATACATATTCTAACAAATACAACAAAAATAATGATATTATTTCTCTGTCAGCGGCCATATCAAAAAGACTTGTACAAAAATAGCTAAATCGCACAAAGATATTTGACAGCGAGCTCGCAAAAAAAAAAAAAAAACGAAAGTCTCCCCGGAGAGGAAATATATATTAAAATCTTAACAGAAAGTCAAAGAAAAAAGGTCACGCGTTTTGACTTGACTGACACCTCTCACATATCCCAGACTGCCTTACATCCTCTTCGTCAAACAAACCAGTCCACAGAGCCAAAAAATAATCCAAGTGGAAGCTGATATTATTGCTCTTGTAATTAAGACGTCAGCGTCTGTTCAAATGCAGGTATATGTGAGCTGCGGACTGAAATTCTGTCAAAGCGTTGGGCTTGAATTTAAAAGATCATTAAACACTATACACTTTCTTACAATGTGCGATGACATGATTGATGTATAGCCTAAATTAGTCAGCTAAAATACTTCTGAAAAATATATGCAAACAAATATTTAGGCTGCATGCATCGATTCAGCAGAAAGCTGTCATGCGACTTCGGTGAAAAAAAATAATTTCTTCATTAAGAACATTTTTTTCTTCTTTTCAAATACCAGGATTAGGCTATGTCGGTTTTTTTAAGCATTTTTCAAACTAAAACGTGTTAAACTCACATTGCTCGCTGACTTGTTTGAAATAGACATTTAAAGTCAGCCAGGTAATTAGCATGAGATTAAAAATAAATTAAATGCATTAGAAAACTATCAAAATAAACAAACTCGTATTTGCTATACCGACAATTAATTTAGTGTTTATATGAAACGTGAAATATTTATTATTATTCAATTTTTTATTTATTTATTGAAATGTCACGATGTAATAGCCTACTTATTTTTTTTTTTTGCAACATTTAAGTGTTTTGATCATCTTAAATTACAATAGCCTATAAATATTTTTCAAACCCAGACAATTTAACTAAGCGCAGTAGGCTATATTGGAAAACAAACCCGTAAAATAACAGGGCAAACGCGGTAATTAGCTACATTGAAGCAAAAGGTTGACTTTGCTACATTGTTATCAATATTTTTTTAACATGTCAGGCACATTCTCCTGGGGTTTAAACGGCATTGAGGGTATTTCATAGCAAAAACAAGATTCTAATTTTTAAAATATTGTTCTAGTTTCTATAAATTATCTACCATCTTAAATTATTATTATTATTATTAATGATACCTATAGGCCTAATATTCATCATCATTCATAACTATGTAGCATTAGGCCTATTTAAGATGTGTAGACTATTGTAACCAATCCTAAAAGTCGGTTTCAAAACGTCAGCAAAACTTGCATTCTTGATTTAACAAATATGACGGTGCTTACAGTTTGTTTATGGATCTTTTTTTCACGCAACTGAGCTGACTCCTCAACTGATAGGCGTGTGTAAATGTGACAGGGAGGTGCGGCCAGAGGAATGAGAACATGAGGAAAAGTTCCACCCTCACGGAGGAAAACAAAAGTTTGAGTTAAAACATGGTCGCGACGTGCGTTCAGCAGCAGCGGCAGCAGCACCTATATGGATTAATTCTCTCTGTACAGGAGATCTGAGAGTGGATATAGCCTGTCATACTGGACAATGTACTGGAAAAATGAACAAACCACATCGAAAGAGAGCCCAAGCAAGAACACTGTAAGTAACACGTTTAAAATGTTTTATTTGTTTTCTTTATTATTATTATTAATAAAAATAATTGTTTATTGTTTTATTATAATAAATAACCTAGGCTACTGAGGTGATCTCCTGGGGCTGCATGTTTTGTAGGATTTTCAAAGATAAAAATAATCTGAATATATTCATCTTCCATAATAAACAATGCAGGCACACTGTGTTTTATTTTTCATCACGTTAAACTATTATTTATCCTTGTTTGTCAGCAGCCGTCAACTCTGAATTACGGACCATCTTCAGCTGTGCCTCGGGCAACGCCTGTGCGCAATTATTATAAATTACGCGATGTGGAATTGTTTCTTCTTTTTTTCCACAGAGACAGTCGCTTTTTAGGAGTTTGGATTTAGTTAACATGCTTAAAAAATGTCTGAGTTTGGAAAGCAGAAAAAAACAATTACCAACAGGCTACTACTCTTGAATGCGACATAAAACGGTCAATATTACCTGAGGACTTTGAGCACTTGAAAAGGATGACGCCTTGCGTTCAGAATCGCCGGTGTTTTTCGGTGTCTCCTCTCGCTATAGTTAGAGGTTGTCATGGTAAACGGCGAGTGGTCGTTAACGGGTAGCTCGGCCCGGAGGTTAAAAGGCGGCAGCGCTGCCGTGCACTGTGTCTCTCAGAGCTGCTCCTCTCGACATGCCCGCTAGCTGTGGAGGGTCAGTCCTCTGCACACCTCAGGTGATACATGCTGTGATATTTAATAACCATGACTCTTTGGACGGATTTCTGAAGCTGGCGCCTACATGTTGTCTATTTATATTAACGGCTTTGGAAAGGCCATACAATTTAAGAAGGTCACTGGCCTGATGTTTATCAAACGACGCATTCGGCTTCCTTCAATATTTAATTGTTTATTATTTATTACATTAATGTTTTTTATTATCGTTTTTAGGCTAAAACTCAAGACCTGTTTGAAGAGGTATCGTGTTCGTCGTCGTTGTCTTTGTCGCCAAGCTCTTCACCTCATACCATGACAAAGAAAGCCATATGTACCAGTTGCGGAACTGAGATTGTAGATAAATATCTCCTCAAGGTACGTATTACATTTTAACACGTCAATAACTATTTTACACTACTATTAAGGTACTAAATTGCCCGCCAGACTTTTTCATTGAGGTAAAGTTAGTTTTATATTTGCACATTCGTTTATTTTAACTGACCCCGTATTGTTTACCACGCTAATTTGAATGTTCGGTCAGAAATGGCATGCATATAGCCTATGACTTAAAAGCATCATTAGCATTGTTTAATTGACCGTGAATAATACTGTACTTTGGTAGTCATTGGCTGCCAATATGATTTCCCCATTTAGATTTTATAAGTAATACTTTTCTGAAATTATATTGAAACCGTATGAATGTGAGAATATAAAACCAACTTTACCCCAATGGGCATTCCCTAGTGTTTAATAAGATAAAGCCAGTAAGCGAATCTTTTATTTACGTAAATATTAGCTACATTTGTAACCGAAAAATGTTGCTTTTCCACCTCAGGTGAACGACATGTGCTGGCACGTGAGATGCCTGTCCTGCAGCGTGTGCCAAACATCTCTGGGCAGACACATCAGCTGTTATATAAAAGAAAAGGAGATATTTTGTAAACTGGATTACTTCAGGTAAATTATTATTATTTTTTACTAGATTGAGGAAAAAGAAAAGTGCCTACTTTGTTTGTTTCATAAAAGGGTCAGGCTGCTGTTGGACTGCAATCAAATACTAATTTTTGTGCATATTTACAATAAAGCATTTCAAATTGGTCATGCTTTTTGATTTTCTTAAGTGACTGTTCGTTAAAGTCTAGAAATTACAGCTGTTATTTTTCTGTAGTGTTTCCACAACAGTCATTACATTGCATACTTTCCCTCACTGTTTTTCCCCTTAAAATGGAAAATGGACAATAGTCAACCAATGTTTTCATTCCATCTCTGTGGTTTTTCCTGCAGTTCCGTATCCATACACCAAACAACCGGTGTTAACCTCACTGAAAAGAAGCAGCACAAAAGCTTGTTTACCTTTTAAAAAATGGAAGTTCTTATCAAAGATTTGTTTCATACAGGAAATACGGAACACGTTGCGCTCACTGTGGCAGAAACATCCATTCAAACGACTGGGTTCGCAGAGCAAAAGGAAACACCTACCACCTGGCATGTTTTGCTTGCTTCTCCTGCAAGAGGCAGCTGTCTACAGGAGAAGAGTTTGCCCTGGTGGATGAGAGGGTTTTGTGTCGTGTCCACTATGACTGCATGTTGGACAACCTGAAGCGTGCCATGGAGAATGGTTAGAAGCTGCCTGGATTTTTATTTCAAGTGTTGAAATTTTCAGAGGATATCTAGTACCTGACGTTTTACAAAGAACACTGAATGTTTATCACATTTGCATTCATTCAGTTCCTGTGAAACAACGGATTGGGTTAAAATAATTTTTTTCTCATTCACTTTTTCATTTTGTGGTTTGCTCCAGGAAAAGGAGTGAATGTGGAGGGAGCTGTTCCCTCAGAGCAGGAAGTAAATCAGCCTAAACCGGCCAAGAGGGCACGCACAAGTTTTACAGCTGACCAGTTACAGGTTAATACAGCATATTTTTCTTTAAAAGTATTTAAAAGACTGGCTGCTTGACATTTTTAAAATTTGTATTTTTTTAAATGAAGGTGATGCAAGCCCAGTTTGCTCAGGACAACAATCCAGATGCTCAGACTTTACAAAAGTTGGCAGAAAGGACTGGTCTTAGCCGAAGGGTAATTCAGGTAAAACAGTTCTTCCAAAATTTATTTAATTTTCTGCATGAGATTTTAAATTTCTTTTTTTATTTGAATTGTTGTCCCAAGAATGATTTTATTTATTTACGTAAAAGTTTTACAAATATCTGAAGAACTTCATAAAAGTTTACTAAACTGGGAAAAATAGGCAAGTGTTATTCATTTTCTTTTAATTGTCTTAGCTTCATTTTATTGGGTAACGGACTTCATTTTGAATTAAATAATTCAATCTAGCAGTTTGTGCATTGTGATCTGAATGGTCAGTAAATTATTTCCTATAATAATTATTATATATAATTGTAAATCTGTTAAACTAAAATATGGCAAGCTAAATTGTTTATTTTAGTTTAAACTTTCTTAAATGTTCCAATTTGTAACCCCAAAAGTTAATGCAGTTCTTTGAGTAAAAATGTAACGATTGCAATAGTTTTCATGTTTGAGCAATAAAAATGCCTTTCATAAAAATTCCCGGTAACCCAAGGGAGACAATACCCTTTAATTTAACATTTTAACAGTTTGTTGCCCCCCACCCCCCCTTCTATTTTCTACCTATGTTGATCATCTCTCTGCCACCCAGGTTTGGTTCCAAAACTGTCGAGCTCGTCATAAGAAGCATGTCAGCCCGAACCACTCTTCAGCTGCACCAGTGTCATCACTGCAGTCGGCCCATCTCTCTCCTCCACTAATAGATGAACTTCAGTACACTGCTTTTGCCCCTGTGGACACACCAATGCTGACTGCACTACACTCCTACATGGACGGTACAGGTTTTCTTGGATTCAGCATATGCAGCTTTGATAGCATTAATTTTTCATTAGGGGTCATGCATTTTGTATAATTAGTAAAACTGATTTATTTTAATGTTTATTTTGAACTTAAACGCGTCTTAATGACTTTATGATTTTTTTTTTTTTTTTTTTTTTTTTTTTTGCCTCTTCAGTCCACTCTCCCACTTCCCTGGTGCTGCAGCCACTCCTGCCGCACTCGATGACACAGCTGCCCATCAGCCATGCCTGAGACTTCACTGCAGACCCACCGTCAGGTCAGAGGACAGCATGAGGAAATATTGACTGAGTCTTGAACAAGACCCATGCTTCTTTCTTTCATGGGCACTTACTGAAGGATTTGCAAAGATCGAAAAAAACGTTTCAGCTTAATTGTGAGAGTCTGAAGTTTTTGTTTAATATATATTATATTATCTATATAGTGATGGAATAAATGGTGTTTAATTTATTTCTTGTATGTGACTGAGCACTTTGTTTTAAAATAAATCTACCATGGATTTCTTAGTTTCTGGTTTAGTCAACACATTTTTGGTTTGTTGTGTGGTGGATCTAAAGAAAATTGGAAGCTGAAGAAAAGGCAATAAATTTAATTTTTCCACTAGTGTTGATGAAATTAAAGTGGTTGTTTGGCTTTATTTGATTAATGATTGAATTGAGGTTTAAATTTTCGTTATTTATAGGAGCAAGGATTTTTCACATTCTTAAACTAGATGGGTCACTGAATGCGTATTACTAAAATAGTTTCTTTACTACAAATGTCCCACATTTAATTGCTTGGTTTTAATAATGCTTAAGAATTTTCTTTAACTTTCATTGCATTTCGCAAATAACCTTTTGTTAGTCTGCCTTAATTGAATTTGGTTATGGTTATTTAACTTATTTTTTATTTTTTAATTGCTAATGTGTGAATGGGTTGTAACTAATGTGATTTTCCATGATTTAATGAAATTACTTGGATTTAACGTTTCAAAGGAAGTTTTTATTTTTTTAATTTTTTTTTAGATATGTTAAGTGCATGCTATTTTCATATTTCTGAACAATCTATGCCTCAGTGTCATTTTGAGCTGTACAATTAGTTTGTCAAACAACACAAAGGGGTTAATTCAAAACGATTAATGTGGATGTCCTGAATGTCCTTTCATTTACTTACCTCATCGATTTCCTGCCAAATTTCTGCGCAGTGTGCACTGGGTGCTCAGAATAATTTTGCAAAGTTATTTACGCGTTTTGTTCTATTAATCAAAGAATGAAAGCATTTTGTGAGCAACGAGTCACTGCGTTTCGTGTTAGCGAGCACGAACATACATTTTCTAACTGCAGTTCACTTAACGCCCACCTGTGTCACTAAAAACAAGGGTATGTGCACGCACCAAATGATCTTTAATAGTCAGAAAATTGACAGCTTTTGTAGAAATGCAGTGCGTAACAATGAGTTAAATATTTTATTACAATACAAACCAACGCAATTCTCAAGTAAAACAATCTAATAATTTATAAGAACCTGGTTAATTTTGTAAGACGGTCGTTCATTTCCAATTGCCAGTCGTCTTGCGAGTCTTCTCTTCTTGAGGATCTTTCTCAGCGTGTTGGTTGTGTAAAACGGCCGAGCAGTTGAGCCATCATTTTTCTCCAAGTCTAGAGCTGTAAGTAGACAAGGATGATTGTGTATGTGTGGGGTTAAACGGCTTTGTTTAACTTATCCCAAAGTTGGAGGCATTTTCCGTTAACTCGGGTGTTTTGTTTCTTGAATGCATTCGTTACTCTTAAAATATCACCGTATAGGGTTAAGCGTATAGCCAGCTAATGGTTTTTGGTGAGAGATCCACAAAACACATTTCTGAAAAATCGGTGGTGATGAAGTTTTAATGCATTTCAATGGCAGTTTAATAGAGGGAATTGGTCGTGAGAAATAATGTTTATTAGTGAGAGATTAATCACAGCTGTGCTGTATTGTTTGACAAGCGCAGATGAAAAATGGCTTCGTGAGAAATTGCAAAATGGAGCTGAGAAATTTCAGTATCCTTTAAATGGTTTTATTTAAATATAAAAAAATCACAATTTCATTTTGTGGTACAAAAAGTACAAATACAATAGTTACAGCTCCTAAAAGTTACAAAACATTTTTCATCAGGGATTATAAAATGTTAGCACTTGTATATCATGGTACAAATAAACCCACTTTAAATGTCTCCTGACATTTTCAAGAAGGACAGTTCTTTCACGTTTCAGACTATTCTTAAATCTTTCAAAAATAAATGGAGACAGCTACAAAAACTATTTAGTTCTTTAAGCTTTCTCAGGAAATAAATGGTTACAAGAAAAGTTGAAGTGCTTCACTGAATGTCACTTGCTGATCTTGATGGAAGCATTTAGAAACATACTATTTTTCTACAGTGACTGTCCTTCTCTCAGCCAGATATAACACAATCACTTCAAGTACACAGAAAATAAGATATTATGAAAGCCCTTTGCTGATTACGCATAACCCTTAAGGGTTTTGTTAACCATCTATCTTATATTTTGAGCTGGGAAAACTGACATGCATTCATAAATGTGGGTTTTACATAGACACACATGTACATTAGTGAATGTGTTCATTATTTACATGTAATTAAACCACTGTTTGCATTTTGTAAAAGACATTCAGTAATATTCACCATTAATTATTAATGAACACCTCTGGTGTAATATTCAGAGGAATGTTTCATTGAAATGGAAATACTGATTTGGAAGACTAAAATTGATACATTTACTGTACATTTCTCGATGTTCTGTGATATGGGTCTAAAGAAATCCACACCACATGTAGTTCAGAGAAAGCAGAATAATGCCTTAAAATAACTCACATACTTGATTTAACATGTTTTTAAGCCTCTTCTGTGCTATATTGTGATGCAGGTTTAGTACGAGTGAATCAAGAGCTTAATATGATGTTAATGTAACTGCAAAAATTAATGTCCACTTGTTCCATTTCTTAAAAAAAAAAAAAAAAAAAAAACACTGAGTTGCTATGCACTTTAACCATGACTTTAAGTAGTATGAGGCATACCAGTTGTTCTAAAACCTGCTTTTAAGGAACGTAATCTAAAAGCATGTTTATCATTTATTTTTCCACATTATACTAAAATCCATGGTAAACAGAGTCAGGATTATTTTGCTTTCTGTTTTACACTTTCAGTAATTCATATGCAGATACATAAAATGATAAAATAAAAATAAAAAAAAAACTGCATGGATAAAAATAATATGCAATAGACTTAGCATTGACACTTATTTTTTAGGTCAAACTCCACAAAAAATATCCCATTGGTCTTTTATTTTAAGGAATCACTGGAACCTTTATTTCTTCTTTTTTGTTTATTCTGAATATTAAGTGAGTATGAGTATTTATTATTTTTAAAGAAAAAATATTCATTTAAATGGGTCATCGGATGCCCAGATTGTAAAAAAAAATATCTGTAAATTGCAGTTTTCCATATTTTGCGATTCATGTTTTTATTATTCCCAGCTTATTTATGCTTTTGAATTGCATTATGGGACCTTGATTTTTCCTCCAACAACTTTTAACCGTGTAAAATTTGAAAAAGTGACTTTTATTAACATCTTAATTTAACGTGATGTATTGTCTGGGTTGGTGTTGTATATCACAGTACTAAAAACTTTGTAACAATCTGCCAGTACATTTTCTGTTATTTTACAGACTTATTTCTTTTTATATTATTCCTTATACATTATTAAGATAAATCAATAAAAGTCAATTTGTTGTTGAAAAATAAAGCTCTACAGTTTAATGAAGTCGACAGAGCAGAGATCAAGGACCAATAATGCAATTCACAACCGTATTTAAACTGAAAACACTTGTGAATCACAAAATACAGAAACTGTTATATTTTGTACAGTGCATATTCCACAGGTTAATTTGAAACTATAGTGTCTTAAAGTCACCCAAAAATAAAAATTATGTCATTAATTATTCACCCTCATATTTTGTAAACCACATAATATCTTTGTTTATCACTGGAACATATTCTTTGATGAAAACTAAAAGCTACCTGACCCTCCACGGCAAGCATCATGAAAAGTTCAAAGCTTATAAGGGCATCAAGAACATTGTCGAAACATAAAAAGTGTAAATATATATTTAAACAACAGTACTGTCTGGTTCTCAAATCTGATTGGCTGATAGCCATGTGATATTCTTCTATAACAGCACTTATACAGCCTCCTCACCCTTCTGAATTACTCCGCCCACACAGAGACTCACAGTGAACTCACTACAGTTTGACAAATATTGCAGCTGTTGTACAACATAATGTGCTTTTGTGGCATTTTTAGATGATAATGTAGTTGTTTAGATTGCAGCTATGCAGTTTATTTATAACGACCAAGTTTGGACCCCCCTGGGATAGCTTTTTACATTTTACTTATAATTTCGTAGTTACAGCATGTCGGCATCCTGTCATTGAGCAGAGCAAAGACGGTTGACGCTTCACGACAAGATGGCGACAGAGATCGCATAATAAGCCCTTAGAGGAGGAAATATCATGTTTACTTTGCTCTGGCTTTATCTGGGTTAATTATTGGGATCTGCTGACTGCAACAAAGAAATACTGGGGAATCTCTGCAGAGTCAGACTGATGTCATTTTGTGCCGTTCAGCCTTGTAATCTTAAAATGTCAGCAAAATCACCTGTTTTGTCATCACTTTAGACATTATGCTAAAGAATCATTCAAATACTAGCTTTAAAGTGACGTTTGCGAAGTAGCAATGGTTTATCCTGTTCTGGCGTCAGCTGCAGATGTGAATGAATGGAGGAAGAAAGAAGTTCCTCATACAAAAGGGTTTTACAAGAGTTCACACTTAGCTGATGATTGATAATAAAGCTAGTTTGGCGTGCTGTCTCGGGAGAGAGCCTTAAGCTTATAAGATCCTTGAGCCCTGGGCTCCCTCCCGTTGCAAGGCGAGAGGGGAGCTTGAGCTCAGGTAGATCTCGATGACTCCCCCTCTTGCTTGTTGTAGCTAAGTGTCAGATATGGATGCTAAAAGGTGTACTCAGAGTTTAGCTAAAGTATTTGGATTAATTGTTTAGAGTGCTTGTTTTTGAACTGTGGGAGGAAACCGGAGGACCCGGGGAAATCCATGCGACCATGGGGAGAACGAGCAAACTCCACACAGAAATGCCATCTGGTTTGGAAAGGAATTAAACCAGGGGCATTCTTGCTGTGAGGCAATAGCGCTAATCGCTGGCCACCATGACGCCCGTTTGAAAGAGGGTAAGTAGGGTTGCGTGGGGGGGTTTCTTCAAGACGAAGATATTGAGATGAGAAAAGTCTGGTTATTTATAGTGAGTCAAGGATCGTCTGATAGGATAATCAGTCATTAGCTAAAGTTGGAACAGCTGTGAACAATCATAAGCACGTGATCCTCTCGAAATTTGTTTATAAATAAACTTCACTTAGACTCTCGTTTTAGATTTTTATATATATATAAAATATATTGATATA